GACCATGGAGGGGAAGGCTGACACACCCGTGACAGAGGAAAACAAGTCCAGTACGTATGAAACAGTGCAAGAACATGCACAGAGGAGTATTGCCTTGCGTACTGTTCCTGTCATTCTGAAACATGGGGAGAGACGCTTGCAAGTTAATTGTTTCTTGGACGAAGGCAGTGATACGTCGTATGTTAATGAGGATGTGGTAGAGGAACTGGGGTTGTATGGTAGGAAGGAAAAAGTAATTATCAATGTTGCAAATGGACAGAAGGTCAATTTAATGTCAGTAACCATGGAGATTGGCTTGGAGAGTCTGGATGGTCGGGTGGACACAGTCATTGTAGCGAAAACATCTAATAACATCTGTGGTGGGATGAAACCCACCAACTGGCTGCAAATCAAAGACCAGTGGAAACATTTGAGAGACATTCCTTTTCCTAAGCTTGGAAAAAGGAGTAAAATTGACGTGCTTATTGGTTCAGATTATTACAACCTGCTGTTTCCTATGAAAGAGGTTCGTGGAGGCGACAATGAACCTAGTGCCAGACTGTGTCCATTAGGGTGGACAGCAATTGGTACCATTGGTACATCTGAGGGACTTGGAACAAGTAACACTGGGTACCTGAACACCTATCGCATAAGCCAGTCAGAGTGTAGTGATGGAGATCTGAATTATCTGCTGAAACAATTTTGGAGCCTTGAGGCTATTGGGATCACACCGCAGGTGGAGCAACCACTTTCCCCTGAAGAGAAACTAGCCTTTGATAAAGTGAACGAATCAATCAGGTTTGATGGTGAAAGATATGAAGTTGCGGTGCCTTGGAAACATGAAAGACCAGAATTACCGCCAAACCGACAGATGGCAGAGAAACGCCTTCACACAGTTGAGAAGAAGTTAATGCAAGATGAGAAGCTGGCACAGGCTTACCAATCAGTGGTTGATGACTACTTAAGTAAAGGATATATCCGAGAAGTCCCAGAGGATGAGCCAAAACCACCATCAGAATGGTTTCTTCCACATTTCCCTGTGGTAAGGCCAGAGAAGGCCACAACCAAAGTTCGGGTTGTTTTCGATGGCTCAGCTCAGCAAAATGGAAAGAGTTTGAACAGTGAATCACTACCGGGTCCTAAGTTGCAAAGTGACATTGTGAACGTTTTAGTTAAGTTTAGAAAAGAGCCAGTTGCATTGGCTGGTGATGTGAGCCAAATGTATCACCAGATACTTCTTAGACCAGAAGACAGGGCTCTGCACAGATTCTTATACAGGAACTTGGACAGTGGGGGTACACCAAAGGTTTATGAGTTTAAGAGGTTTATTTTTGGGGGGTGTTACTGCCCATTTTGTGTCCAGTTTGCTTGGCAACATCACGCCAGACTTCACAAAGAGACTTACCCATTGGGAGCTAATGCAGTTCTAGAACACTGTTACATGGATGATCTGATGCCATCTGCACCTACAGTGGATGATGCGAAGGACATAAGAAAGCAGCTAACCGAACTAGGGGACTTGGCTGGTTTTCACATCCGCAAATGGATCTCTAATGAACCGGATGTAATTGCTGACATTGTGGAAGAAGATCTTGCTTCTGAGATAGACTTGGAGAAGAGAGAATTGCCAACAACCAAGACCCTGGGTGTCCTGTGGGCCGCCACAGACGACAAATTTTCCTTTAGACACTCATTACAGTTGGATGGATTTGAATTCACCAAGAGGAATGTTTTGAGGCGAACAGCATCAGTTTACGACCCATTAGGCTTCTTATCACCTTATGTAATCAGGTCCAAGTTGTTGATACAAAAGGCTTGGTTGGAGGCACGGGATTGGGATGAACTGTTGCCAACACATCATCAGCGAGAATGGACAAAGTGGTTTCGAGAATTGAAAGACCCTGAACTTGTAAAAATCCCAAGGTGTTTGAAAGACCCAAGTCCTAAGGTGGAAGAACTGAGCATTCATACATTCAGTGACGCCTCAGAGAACGCATACACAGCTGTAGTTTACGCGCGTCATGTGTATGAGGGTGGCAACATTACTGCTCGAATGATTATGTCGAAGTCTAGGCTTGCACCATTGAAAGCAGTGAGCATCCCCAGATTAGAACTTTTGGGTGCTCTAGTCGGATTACGATTAACAAGACAAGTTTGCTCTGCACTCAAGATACCTACAAATGGAGTGACATACTGGGTGGACAGTATGAATGTGGGGTACTGGATCCAAGGTCAAAGTAGAGAGTATAAGCCGTTCATAGCCCATCGTGTTGGAGAAATTCATGAGTTCTCTGCTCCTAATCAGTGGCGCTATGTTCCTACGGATTTAAATCCCGCCGACCTTGGAACAAGAGGCCTGACAGTGGAAGAGTTAGCAAGTGCAGATTTATGGTGGAATGGGCCCGAATTTCTGAAAAAGTCAAGACAAGACTGGCCAGAGTGCAAGTTTGACAAGCCAACGTCAACAGAGAACCTTGAACTTAAAGGAACAAAAGAATCAGGAACAAAGGATGCTACCAGTTACCAAATAATTGGAGAAGGTGAGGAAACGGCTAGTGTCAAAGAGGTGTGGCGATTGGACCCCTCAAGATACTCGAAATGGTATCGAGTCAAAACAAAAGGAGAACTGGAAATTGGGTTGTCTTTAGTTCGTGTGACAGCGTGGGTGCGCCGATTTACAGACAATTGTAGGAAACCAGCTGAGCAAAGAGAGAAGGGTGAACTGAAGCCATTGGAGCTTCAAAACGCTGAGGAATTTATCATTCGGGAGGTTCAGTCTAAGGTGTACTCAGCGGAGATAGAGCCATTGAGAAGGAATAAGGAAATCCTAAGAGGAAGTACATTGGCACCGTTTAATCCAGTATTAGTTAATGGCATTTTGAGGTCCAACACCAGACTACGGTATGCGGACGATCTCCCATATGATGTTAAGTGTCCAATCATACTGCCTAAGAGGAATCATGTCACAGGACTGATCGTTAAGTACTACCATGAATCAGAGGGTCATCAAATGGGGCTTAACTATACGATTAATCATGTACGGGAGAAATACTTAGTGGTCCATGTTCGTGAACAAGTGAAACGAGTCATGAGAGAATGTTTTGAGTGTGCGAGACGATTTCGATCAAGGCCAGCTCACCAGCAAATGGCGCCGTTACCGAAGATTAGACTGCAGCAATCCTCCAGACCTTTCGAGAGCTGTGCAGTAGACTTTGGAGGACCTTTCTTAACTAAGCAAGGCCGTGGAAGAGTGCGAGCTAAGCGCTATTTGTGTTTGTTTCTCTGTTTGAACACCCATTGTTGCCACTTAGAGATGGCGTCGTCTTTGGACACTGATGCATTTCTTAACGCCTTTGTCAGAATGACTGCGCGGAGGGGATGGCCGCAGCAAATGTTAAGTGACAATGGAACGAACTTTGTAAGCGCATCGAGGGAACTGCGAGACCTAGTCTCTGCTATAGACCAAGACAAACTACAACGGATGACCTCCAATAAAGGAGTGAGTTGGAAATGGAATCCACCTGCAGCGCCACATTTTGGTGGAGTCTTTGAATCTATGATCAAGGCAGCAAAGCGAGCTATTTTTGCTGTACTCGGTGATGCAGAAGTTAATGATGAGGAGTTGGAGACAATCTTCATTGGCGTAGAAAGTCTGATGAATTCGAGACCTTTAACAGCTGTGAGTGACGACCCTAACGACGACCGCGTCTTGACTCCAAATCACTTTCTGATCGGGCAGATAGGTGGTGATTTTGTACCAGAGAGCGTCGACACCGAGCCATTTAATCCCAGAAAACGCTGGAGAAGACTACAAGAGCTCACAAGACATGTGTGGAACCGATGGATGAAAGAATACTTGCCGCAGATTGGATCAAGACAGAAGTGGTACTTTCGTAATGACAATTTGCGGGTTGGAGACGTTGTCGTTGTTATCGATCCCGGAACAGTAAGGAGACAGTGGAATGTTGGGCGTATCGAGCAGACGTACCCTGGCCCTGATGGCCTTGTGCGAGTGGTGGACGTACGGGTTAATGGCAAGACCCTTAAGCGACCAATAACTAGAATCTCCCCGCTGGAGATTCGGGACACCGAACTGTAATCAGATTAATGTGTAACAAGAACACTTCGGAGAACTATGATCTAGAGCTAAAGATGTATTTCAGTTAAAATGTATTCGAATTTCAGCTTCCCTGTAATTCGGGAGGGGAAGAAATGTTAGTGACATTTCAAGTTGTGTTACATCATGTACGGCTTGACAATTATTACGTGTTTCGGTCATGTGACGTTGTTGTTGAACTCGGACTCTAGAGCGGAATTTGACTCGAGACTTGTCGAGATTTTTATGCCAGATTCGTCGAGATAGTTTTGTGTTTTTGTTTGTGAAGATTTACAGTCTTGGAATAGAAGTAACACTTGCCAATTTGAGAACGTCGTCCACATAAAAGTTCCTTCTAAGGGTGTTGGCTGCTTCTGACCCATATTCATCTTCGTTGTCGTCAGCAGTGCGTTTAACTGCATAATTAGCGCGTGCAGGGGATGATACTGCACCGAACAAATGCATTGCGTCAGGCCACCACAGGAACCTGAGAAAACTTTGATCTTCCTTCCTTACTCTTACTTGAAAGAACGCTTTTTCAATGTCTGCCATAAAAGCATACTTTCCTGGTAGGAACACCGACTAAGTTACTGCTGAGATCTGGTCCCTCGAGCAATTTGTCATTCAAGGAGTGTCCTTCGAATGAGGCCGAGCAATCAAACACAACGCGTATTTTCGTTGGCTTTTGCGGGTGATAAATTCCGTGATGCGGCAGGTACCAGGTTCTGCCCAACTGATCTTTAACATCGTCATCCACCTTCCGAGCGTACCCTTTCGAAATGATATCAGACATAAAGCTGCAGTAATCCGTGCAATACTTGCCATCAGACATTAGACGTTTCTTGAGGCTGTTCAGGCGCTTCTCAGCTTGAGCATAGTTGTTTGGGAGCTGAGTGTTCTTATGTTTGAAAGGGAGGGGCATTTCCTAGTGCAAGTCCTCGAGATGAACGATACCAGTTTCCACAGTCTCGTAGAACTTGATGTCTTCGCGCGACATTGATATTGCCTTTTCCTTTTCGGAGAAGTCAAGTTCAAACATTCGTTCAACTGCCTGCCGTGTTATCTGTTCCTTAACCGTCCTTTGAGAGACCACATATCCTCGCGGGGATGAGGTGTCTTGCTGATTAAGGTTAATTCTATTGCACGTTAAGATGCTACTCTGACAGGGAGTATAGAGAGGACCGTTTATGTGCCATCCGATCAGCGACCGTACAGCATATGGATCTGATTCTCCACCGTAAACAATTTCTCTTGCTCGTAGGGCACTTGGACAGTTCAATCCGATAAGAAGACCCACTTCAACATCTTCCATGTAGGGGGACAGTTCGGCACTAACGTCCTTCAAATGAGACATCCCACTGATTACATCAGGTCGCGGTATTTCACTGAGGTCTGCTGGAATAATGTTTCGCGTGAAAGTTCTGGGCAAGTCTAACATTGCACTCTCGTCTTTGACATAAGCTACGACTAATCCTTCAATGGCCTTCGTCGTTACGCTGGGTGTTCCATGGATTGAAGTAAGAGTGAGGTCAGTGCTACTTCCTTCAACGCCAAGAGCCTTAGCTGCGCTTTCATTCACAAACGTTCCACCGCTGGCATTGTCCAGTAAAGCATAAACTGGTATTTTCTTCGCTGGATTACTCTTATGAAACAACCAGACTAGCAATATACCCATGTTAATCGGCACATCTCCAGCTTCAGTTATGTTTCAGATGACAGTGTGATTGCTACTAACTCGAGGTCTATCTTGAGGTTGGTTCTTGTCACCTTTGTCGTTCGATTTCTTAATTCCATCAGGGTTGTGTAGCGACGTTGGATGCTGCTTGTTGCACGTCTTGCACATTTGCCTTTCCTTGCAATGCTTTGCAATGTGCTGGTCGCTAAAGCAGCCGAAGCACAGTTTCGTCTCTTTTCATCATGATTTGGCTTGCTAACACATTGCTCTGAAAGCACAGGATATGTGGCAAGATCCGCTTGTTCACGCACGAATTCAGAGAACTCTTCGAAGTCAGCTATTCTTCCCTTTGCACTTTTTGTCCTATTGTTCCTTTCAGTCCATTTGGTTCTCAGGTACTTAGGTAACTTTTCCCACAGATGACGCAGTACATGGGCAGTATTTAAATCATCCATATGAGACATGCCTTTCATAGCAGACCTAGCTTGATCCAGGGCAATAAAGAAATCTTGGAGGGCTAAACCACTGTTTGGTCTGATTGGTGGCCAAGAAGACAATTTCGTGATATGGACATTAGCTATCTTGAATGGATCACCGAATTGTCTCTTTAAAAGTCTCTTAGCTTCTTCATAGGATCCTTCCATTTTCCTTTGAAGACATCGGTTTATAATTTCTTTTGCTTTACCTGACGTGTATTGACCCAGAAAATATAATCTCTCATGGGAATCTTCAGCCTCTGATTCGATTAATGACTCAAAGGCAGTCATAAATAATGGATACTCCTAGCATCACCATAAAACATAGGAGGCTCGTTCGATGGCAAAAGACTCCTCGCTTGCTGGTTAACAATAGTCTGAGATAACTCAGTTTGTTTTCGTTGAATTTCCACAATGTCCTGGAAAGTATTGTCTTTGACTGACAAACTTGTCGAACAACCTTGTGGTGGTGATGGTGGCAGACACCATACCTGATCAGGAGCAGTATACGTAACAGCAGGAGTCGTTGCTAAAGATGGGTATGATGAAGAATGTACACTCAAGGAGTGTTCATGGGGTTTTGCTGCATAGGCCGTAGTTTCCTCCTTACTCCGTGATGCACCAGTATTTATCGGTTTTTTGTAAATGGGTCCTTTCTGAGGTACCGTAAATGCACTAAGAGGACTATCTTGTAAAGGCTGTTGATAATCTGTAACGCCTAAAGAACTTACAAGTTGTTGCTGCGAAGTTGGTTCCAAACCAGCAGAGTTAACCTGATTGTATTGTACAAATCGGAGGACTTTGTGTATGAACAGCCTCTTCACTCTTCATTTCTTCGTAAATCCTTTCTTCTTCTCTTGCTTGAGCTAAACTCTGTTTTAGCTCTAAATGTTCAGCTGCCATTTTATGATGCTTTAATTTCCAATGCTGCAACCTTAGTTTTTGCTTCTATCAACTTAGCTTTAAATGAAATTGACTATGAGGTGGACCGTTTAGAGTGATTTGACTTTCTTGTGCGATGAGACCCACTAGAGATAACAGAGTTTACTTCATTTGACTGGTGCCTTTTCGCCTTGGACAAATATTCAATGACGGACTGTTTAAATTTAAAGACATCTCCATCGTGAGCATCGTACCATGAATTGGCATTAACAATAACAGTTTTATCTTCTAACGCGTCAACATAAGTATCCTGAGTATCTTGCAGTTTAACAAGCAAATTGTTAAGACCTTCCATTTCAACTGACACAAATTCATAATTGTTAAGATCAGCAAGTAGCGGTTTCATTTTGTTTATCTGTCTAGTTACGTGACGTAACGCCACAGTTCTATGATCCTTTAACCTTTGTAACTCGTGTTGTTTACCTTTATCCGTTGGAATTTTTCTCCTTTCGCCTACTCCTAGCGCTTCAGCATCACTGACCATCGATTTTGCTCCCATATTCAGCGAACCTTGAACCTTTACTGAATTAGGAAGCTCCATTTCTGATGCTGCATCCGTTGGCTGAGTGTGAAGCGGCGATATAACACGAAACAGTTCCGTATCCATTGTTGGGGAGTGCGAACGCGAAACTTGCAATCTCAGCAAATTTTCATCCTCAAAATAAACCGCAAATTCCTTGCCTTCACCTTCCATGACCGTAAATATCCCTGTAAACCGTAAGACCAGTTGAAAACCATAGACAAATACAAGCACCGTAATTATCCTTGGAAATGAAGCCATAAATAATCCGTAAGGTCCATGAGGTCGTGAAATGACTGTAGCGGCGAATGGCGGCACATGATATCTGTGACGATGAAAACAACACAAAACGTTGAATCAACTCACAAGTATCATCACAAATATTCGTTAGAAATCCATAGCACGAGAAAGAAACACTGAAGCAAACGACTTACAAAGCACTTGGAAAACTTGAAGAAAACCTTAGTGAAACTTCAGGTTATATCACGGTGGCCTCGTGCCCGCCAATGCCGAGGCCCCGTGCGCATGCTCCTAATACACAAGGGGGTAAGCCCGCTGGTCAGGATACCAGCAGTTACAACCTGCATTCTGAAGATCTGTCCCATCCTGTTCAGAACATTGCAACATCAATTTTACCATTAAAAGGGTTGTGGAACAACAATGGGGTGAAAAACCTTCCTGTAGAACAACTTGCTCTTAGGGGGAAAACCCCAAACCAGCTGTACCTCCAATCAGGGCTCTCAATAAAGGCTCGAGGCCTGGGATTTTCCCCGGCATATAAGGGCATAACCCAGGGTTTTCAATAAGAGCTGGCAGCCAGTGAAATTCACAGGGTATTTCATGTGAGCTTGCCGCCTACTTCTCTTTGAAAATCCTCCAGTTCTTAGAAACTAATAACATAATTTACATTTGTAAAACAGATAATGAAACAACCAATGGTTCAAAGCTATTAATTGGCAAGAACGAATAAATGAATAAAAGTAAAAAATTATTCATGTGCTGCCGACTGAACAAAAAAGCCAAAATTTAATGATGTCTGTGTTCTCTTCAAAAACTCTAATTTTTGCTCCAGAATGCTGGAAATGTATTCTACCTGTAAGATACAGTTGAAACTCTGCATACTGGCCACCTGGGTGAGATCTTTCATAATTTGCATTTTCTGGGCACCCATAGCCAAGTGCTGGTCGACAATATCAGCCGATACTCTGTCGACATATCAGTCAAATATCAGTTCACATGTCAGCGGAGTATCAGTTGATAAGTCAGTCTACAGCGGTCGGCCAAGTGTCATTCAACATGTTGGCCGATAGGGTGATTAATTGATACAGTGTATCATAAAAGAATACAGGGGGGAAGGGAAGCTTAAAAGAGCGCAGGGCTAAATGACTTCCCTCCCTGAAAAGGAAGGCTTCCGACATCAGAGAGTGGGGAGCTTATTTGAGAGAGGAGTTAAAAGATACCAATCAATTCCAAACCGCCTATCTCCCCCCCCCCCCCCTCCCAGGCATTCCCCAGGCATTTGGCTGGAGTTTTCCTCCGTATACAATGTAGCTTGTGAAAAAAACCGCTTTTCCTCGCTTCCTGCTGCTCCATGGAGACATTTCACGTGGAGGAACTTCTGTGACTGAGCGACAAAAAATTCCATAACAATAACGTAAAATCTGTCTGGAATCGGGTCAGAAGTGCTGACTGGTCGATGGAGAAGTTGGATTGTTTTAGTTATTGTTTACGATTCACAGACAATGAGAAATTCACAGACAATGAAGAATGTCAAGAAATGCTAATGAGCTCCAGGAAAACTCAAATGCTTCTTCTAAAGAAGAATATATTCTACAAATATTGCCTGCTTTGTTAATTATTAACAAAACAGGCAATATTAATTTGCAGAATATATTCCTCTTTAAAAGAAGCATTTGAGTTTTCCTGGAGCTCATTTGCAGATGAACACGACAATTATTGAAAACATACAATTGAACAAATTATTTCATATTTGGAACCCCATGACCACCGGATTTATTATGTAAACATTGATTGACATTTTCAGTAAGGAATTTCTGTCTCTGAGTCACAGACATTCCTCCTCGCGAAATGTCCCAAGCAACAAGCACTGAGGAGACACGGTTGTTTTTGCTGGATATGTTCTGTACAGAGGGGAATTCAACCCAAAATGAGGCCCACCCATTTGACATTTGAGTTAAAAGGCTGGTCAGCATCGGAAGCAAAAGGATTTTGCAATTCTTTCTGCATTCAGCATATGCACCGCATTAACAGGTCATTGCTCTTATATACACTGTTTTGTTGGAGCATTTGAGAGCCTTTGAAAAAGCCGTTAAAGGCATTTATTATTTATTCAAAATACTTCCCCGATTCTGATTGGCTAAGAGCAAACGCATAATTAACAATTATTCCACGAGGGCGCGTTGGATATGAGATGATAGATAGCTAACGAGGCGCGTAGCGCCTAGCTGGCTATAATCATCTCATATCCAACAAGCGCGAGTGGAATAATTGTTTCATTAAAAACGCCCACAAAATCTCGTTGAATCTCCCCGACCAGAACAAACCGGAAAAGACAAGGGACTTCCGCTATTCACATGTCACACGTCTATCAAAACTGTCAACGCGCGAACGGACTCGCCTGGACTGCATGAATGAAAAATCAAAACATTGTAGCGATGAACATAAGTTTTTTAAAAACTCATCGGGATTCTAGGATTTTACACAGCAGAACAGCTAAAAAAAACCTGGCAGATAATGTGAAGGAAAAGAATTTTTAAGTGACAGCCGTCGAAATTACTGTGAATTTGGATTTTCGGTGCAGTTATAAAAGTAAGAACAACGGAAAAAAACTATTACCTCGGTCGCTTGTTATAAAGTTGTTTGAAGCCACACGCCTCGATTGCTCTAGTGAATGGCTGCATAGCCTGTATTTGTAGCTGGTTACTTGTGATTTATATTCTTGATGTCGGATAAACAAGCCGCAGTTATCTATCGGCGAGTGACTCGATCGGCGAATGGCTTCGCGATCATGAAGAAACAACACTTGTCTTCTTTCGTAGCTGGTCAAGGTACTTTAGTTCCATGTGTTTTCATGTGTTTTTCGACAAACTTTCAAACAAGCTCTTGTGGCTTTTTTGCTTGTTTTTGTCTTTTTTCTTTCGATGAACTCAATTTCTAGTATTCTAAGAAACGAATTAAAACAATTTGCTTGGGGCGCCGTTCTATCCTTCGCGAAAAAAAATCTCAGCTAGCTTCCAATTTTAAACTGACGCGTACACCGACCATATATGGAGAGCATGGCATAATAGCTCATATACCATAACGGCTAAGCCAATCAAAATGCTGGAATTGCATTATCCAATGATTCAGTTTTTAATAATTCACAATAACCAGCTACTGACGACCAAATTTGGAAGAATTTTGCGTTTAATGAATTGATGACGTCAAAAGTGCAGCTTTCGTGCGGGTTAATACATCGTTAACCGAGAAGACCTCGGGACGAGGTTGAGTTGTTTTGGTTGTGAAAACAAAAATGGCGGACATTTCACTCGTTTCAAGAGTAAGAACTAAGCGAAATAATAGCTAAAATATGGGAAGAACAGCAAGAAGACAACTCGAAGGGCAACATCTGCTATTTGGAGAATAAGCATGTTTTTGCCATGTTTTCAAACTAGGAATTATTTTGAATGAATAATAAAACAATTACTGAATTCAGCTTTCGTATCTTATGAAGAATTATGGAGATCTCGGAGGGTGTTATTTGCCTCGGCCTACGACCTCGACGCATAATACCCCCCTCAATCTCCATAATTCTTCATAAGATACTCAGCCTCATTCATTAACTGTTAAATATATGCCAACTCTCCCAGTTTATCCACGACGGGAGTCTCCTACATGTAAATACGACAGTGATCTCCTGAACTCCTGTATGGGTCCCAAAATCTCCCAGATAAAATAGACCTTTGAGCTTTGCTCCGTGTTAGCTTAAAATTTATGATAGAATGCCTCTTAACAGTATCCGTCCCGACTTAGACTTAGATCCCTGCTGTGCACAAATCAAACCAGGTTCCGACCACGAAGATCAGCCGTTGCTCAGATACTTACTTTTAGAAGATTGGCTGAAGGCATAAAGGCCAAGAATATAACAGCAGTTCTTACATTTGTGGACTTCAAAAAGGCGTTTGACTCGGTGAACAGAGACAAACAATATTATTCGACATTCTGAAGGCTTACAGCATCGGGATCAAATAGTCTTGGCTATAGGGTCGATGTATCATGGAGTAACAGATTTCTTTGCTACCCATGCTGGAGTATTGCAGGGTAACAATAGTTAGCTCCATTCCTGTTAATCATAGCATTGGACTACGCAGCAATGAGATCCGCAACTGAAGGCTACGAAGACCTTAGATACACTGACTGAGAGAAGAAGTCGTCGCTTTCCAGCAGTCATAATCACTAACACAGACTTGGCTGACAATATCGCGTTGATTTCACATAACTTGGATAAAGCCCAATCACCGCTAGAGTGGGTTGAAGCTGCTGTCACAGAAGGTGTCTCCACATTAGCACCAGCAACACAGAGTACAATGTATATTGGCCTATAACTTCCGACAACAGGGCCACCTTACTACTCTAGACAATTAAAAGCTAAAACAAGTGGACGATTTCAAGTACCTAGGCTCTTGGATAGATCAAACGAAGAAAGACTTCGAGATCCGTAAAGGAAAAGATTGGGCTGCTAACTGCCGCCTGTTTAGCTCAGTTGGGAGAGCGCCAGACTGCTGAGCGGGAGGTCGTAGGTTCAAACCCCGGCTGGACCAACACTCAGAGTCTTAAAACAACTGAGAAGAAGGTGCTGCCTTTGTAACGACATCTGCAAGCAGTTAGACTTTCTAGTCCTCTTGGATAAAGACGAAAAACCATAGGTCCTGTCTCACAGCACTTACACTTACATATCTGGTTCTTGTGGAACGTAAAAGAACCCACACCACTGTTCGAAAAGTGTAGGGAACATAGACCCTGGTGGTGTGGCCAACCTTCACACATCACATCACATCACTCACGTCATGGGTTGGGTGGGTACAGTAAGCTCATAAATGGACTGAGAGTGGCTGCCAGTGACGCCTTGTATGCTGAATTCCGAGCTTAATGTTACACGTTGATATAAAATTTTA